ATTCAAAGTGTGTCCCCCCAAAATGTATACACACTTTAATAGCTGATAATTCACTTAATTTTCACTCCTTTTCAGGTTTAACTGATTTGAAATAATGGGTGAGCCAGACTAAGCTTTGAACAAAAAAAATCTACCTGCTAGACATTTTAATGAGGATAAAAGATAAAAAATAAAGTTTACAATACAAAACCGGCAACAGTCAACAAACTGAGGGAGTAAAAATACCAAACAAAATGATTCTTGATGTTGCCATTCCACTGCTTTGCGTTATCAGCAGTACTTGGATCAGAATGGTTATCTGTTGACAAAAAAATTAGTCATTTCTGCAGATTCTTTTAAATTTTGAAAATGAACTGTACATTAATAAACACTGACTTTATAATCATTCAAAGTGTGTATACATTTTTGGGATACCCTATATTAAGAAGGCGCAGCCAGTGTGGCTCAGCAGTTGAGCATCAACCTAGGATCTGGGAGATCGCAGTTCGATTCCCAATCAGGGCACAAGCCCGGGTTGTGAGTTCGATCCCCAGTGGGGGGCATGCAGGAGGCAGGCGATCAATGACTCTCTTATCACTGATGTTTCTATCTCTCTCGCTCTCACTTCCTCTCTCTGAAAGCAATAAAGATATATATTTTAAAAAAAAGAAAAAGTATTAATCATTAGTTCACTACTTACTATGTGATCTTGGACAAAATACTTAAGCTCTCAAACTCTCAAATTCTACATCTGTAAAGCATAGATAATGACAGCTACATGTATCATACGGCTATTGTGATGACTAAGTAAAAATCACAAAGTGCTTAGAAGAAAACAGGCACATTGTAAATACTCAATGAACTCTAATTGCTATTATTATTTGAAAAAAAGTTTTCCAGTTTGTTGTGAGCCATTTAACTTTGTTTACAGTGCCTTGCTATACACCCAATTGTGGGAAAGGAGGTAATTTGGGTAGAACACAGTACGAAGATTTAACCAAAACCCTGGAAAATAGAAATATTTCAACCTATTAAAAGCCCAGTAAACTTTTAAATCACCCTTCAACAAAACCTTAAAATAAGAAATCCACATTCCAAAAGATGTACAACCCTATTGAATTTTAATTTTTCCAGAGTTCTCAGCAGCCTCCAGCTACAAGAGCAAAAAGGAATAATAACGATGGCTTCAGGAAAGGGAACAAAATGCAAATACACCTAGGACACAGTAAAAACACTCAATAAATGTTAAACATTACTATAAAATCCAAGTCATTCCTTTAACTGTCATTAATACAAGAATATGTGCAATATATTGCATAACTGATTATGATAAACAGGGTCTATTTCTTTAATACCTTCCTGTAATTCAGTGTGTATAAGATTAAGGAATATTCTGTACCTTGAAGGTTTAATAGAAGTCACCCAAAATAATCAGGGTGTGGTGTTCCTTTGAGAAATATAATTACTTTTTAAGTTTTTTACACATTTATTTTCTAGTGAGGTTTAAATATGTTTAGGTTATCTTATTTTCTTACTAAATTATCCGCTTAGTTTAGGTTTTTAATTTCTAAGAACAGAATTAACCCACAGTATTTCCTTACAATTTCAATCTATTCTTTTCTCTAATTATAACTCTTACCTCATTTTTAAGATGATACATTTTGTTTTCCTCTCCCCTTTTCTCAATTAGCATGCTAGAAGTTTACCTATTTCATTGGACTTTTCATAGTACCATTTCCTGAATAGAACAATCCTACTTTTTCTGAAACTCACTAATTTCTCCCATGTTTACTTTCTCCTTAGAATTATTTAATTGTTCCCTTTCTTGCTTCTTTATATAGATGAAGTTTATTTCTTTTTCATCTTTTCTTGTATATAAAAATAAATTTAGGCAGCCCTAGCCTGGTGGCTCAGTTAGTTGTCAGTTTCAGTGTCATCCCATATACCAAAAGGTTGAGGGTTCAATTCTCAGGCAGGGCACATACTATGATAAGAAATATGGCCTGCAGAATTTCTACATTTTTTAGTTAACATCTTCTTTGGGGCTTACTAATAACATATGGTGTATGTGTGTGTGTGTGTGTGTGTATACACACACACACACACACACACACACGCACATCAATTGATTTTTAGACAGAGGAGGGGAGAGGGAGAGAAACATCAATGTGAGAGTAAAACATCAATTGGCTGCCTCCTGCAAGCCCCCTACCAGGGATCAAGTCTGCAACCCAGGCATGTGACCTGACCAGGAATTGAACTTGCAACTTTTCGGTGCACCAGACAATGCCCAACTGAGCCACGCTGACCAGGGCCATATGGTCGATTCTTATAATCCATATCCATTAAAGTAGTTTTTCAAATATGGTATATTCTCCCTTTGTAAGGTATTAATGCTAATATATCTCTTTTATATTAACCTTATCAGTTCTATTATTCAGATCTCTATGTTCTAATTTATATTTTTCTTCCTTGACCTGACAAAGATATTAAAATCTACTATCACCATTGTGGTGGTTTTTTTTCTTACATTTCTAACTTTTTGATGTATGTGCTTTCCTTTAATGTTACTTGAGGCATAAAAGGTTCATTATAAATTTATACTGCTTATCAATACTAAATGACCTCTGGTTCTCTGCTAATACTCTTATGTCTTGAGAATTTGGCTTTGCCTGATACTAACACTGTGATCCATGATTTATTTTTGTCGGCCTTTGTCTGACATATCCTTTTACTTTTAACATTTCTAACAGGTTTATTGAAATAGAATTCACATACCATACATATAAGTTTCCAATTCATTCTCTTAATTTCACTGGGCTAAAATCAAGGCTGTTGGTAGGGCTGGTCCTGGAAGCTCTAGGAAAGAATCCATTTTCTTGTCTTGTCTAGCTTCTGTCTAGCCGGTATTCTTTGGCTCCTGACCCCTTCCTTGCATCCAACCTCTTGTTTCCACCAACACATCTCCTACATCTATATCGATCTCCCTTTTTCTCCCTCTTATAAATACATTATGATAGGTTTAGGGCCTACCTGGATAATTCAGGGCAATCTCCCCATCTCAAGATCCTTAATCATACCTGCAAAGTCTTCTTTGCCATATAAGGCAACACTCAAAGGTTCTAGGGATTGGAACTAGATATCTTTGGGGGCTATTACAGGGTGGAGCAAAAGTAGGTTTACAGTTGTTCATATGGAAAATAATACAATAATAAACAATGATACAAGAATAAACTCTGTTTTGCATACTCACAACTATAAATATTGTATATAAGCTTTGCTGCTATGTGTATAAGTTTTATTTTCAATTCTCTTGTGTAAACCTCAGAGCAGAATTGCTGGGTCATATGGTAATTCTACTTTTAACATTTTCAGAAATTGCCAAACTGTTTCCCAAAGTAGCTACATCACTCTACAGTCTCAACAGCAATGTACCTCGGAGGGTTCCAATTTCTCTACATCCTTACCAACAGTTATTACTGTCCATATTTTTTACCATAGTCATCTGAATGGGTGAAGTGGTATCTCATTATGGTTTTGATTTTGATTTCCCTAAAGACTAATGATTATTCATTATTAGTGCTCATGGGCTTGCAGACCATTTCTATATCTTCTTTGGAGAAATATCTACTCAGATTCTTTGCCATTTTAAAAGTGGGTTATTTTATCTTTTTATTGTTGGGTTATGAGAGTTCTTTACATATTCTGGATATAAGCTCTTTATCAGATATATGATTTGCAAATATTTTCTCCCATTCTGTGGATTCTTTTCACTTTCTTGATGTTATCATTTGTAGCTACTTTGAACGTTTGTAACTGTAAGTGTGTCACATAAATTAAATAGAGTTGAGTTTTTATTTGGGTTGTCATTCCAATCTGAAAGAAAATCTTTGTCTTTAACAAGGAAGTTTAACCCATTTATATTTATGGTTTGTAACAGAATTAATTAGTTTCACTTATATTACTTTGTTCTATACTTTGTGTTTTGTTTTGTTTTGAATTCGTTCCCTTGTTTTCTATCTTTTGTATATAGCCTTGGTTTTTTTTTTCTCCTCTTTAGTGCTCTGGAAGAAATATTCTGCTTCTTATGTCTATCAACAATATGATACTAAGGACTGCTTCTCAGGCACCACTGTGAACTAGAAGCTTTCTACCATATTCCTCTAAGGAAAGGCCCTAAAATATGCTTCCTATTCTAGGGCCTCAGGAATTTTGGGGAAGCCTCAAAACAAAACTCAAAAACATTAAGGAAGAGCCACAGCATCTGTGTGTGTGAAAAAAACAAACAAACAATACAACTAATAAACTCTCAAGTGATTTCTAATTCTGAATACTTGAAATGTCTACATTCAATATGGGAGGAAATAAATAAATGTCATTTTGAGGTAATAAATTTTATCCTAATAAAAACAAAATTCAATTTAAATTTGGACAGATCATTATTATTCTACTAATGATTCAAAGTTATTTCAGCCAGAGAAAAAGTAGTTCACATAATATAAGTAAATAATATTTTTATAAAGTTACCTATGGATAGGTATACGAACAAAATATCTAACTATATTTCTTTTTTTTTCTAACTATATTTCAAATCGAAGCAGTGTTAAGTCAAATCTTTGAATAAATGTAAGAGATTTTAAATATACACTCGAATATCAGCGATAAATAAAATTCTCCCAGGTTTGCCTCATGAACTTTACACCTTGGAATAATCTACCATTTTGTTTCTGACATAAATCAGCCATTCTTACAAAATCCCACATTCGTTTCTTAACAAACACAACACCATTTCCCCCCCATTGCTTCTGGTGAGGTAAAATACCTTGTTATAGGAAGTAGAAACAGATATGATCCTTTTTATTTTGATTTGCATAAAGTAGTTTGAAAAACCCACTCCCCACTTCCATCCTTGTTGAGAGGACAGAAGTAATAACTATTATGCTACATAGAAGATCACAAGAATGTGAACAACAACCCACAGAAAGCAAAGGGTATCTGAGAACACCGCTCAGTTCTCTTACCACGTTCTCCAAAGGTGCTGCACCAAATACTTTAAAGACCGGGTTGGGTTTAGAGGGTGAGATACAGAGGACAATAGCTTGCTGTCCCACTCGAGTAGTATATTCATCTAATGTGGCTCGAAGTTTCCTGAATCAGAGAATGAAAAGAGAATAAAATCAGAATAAAAAGAGAAAAACTGGCCAGTCAGTGTGGCTCAGTGGATTGAGTGTCATCCCATGCTCCAAGAGGTCACTGGTTCAATTCCCAGTCAGGACACATGCCTGGGTTTTGGGCTCGATCCCCAGTAGAGGGGGTGCAGGAGGCATTTGATGGATGTTTCTCTCTCACTGATGTTTCTCTCTCTCCCTTCCTCTCTCTCTAAAATCAATAAAAAAAGAGAAAGAGAAATTACAGCGTCTGACAGACACAAAATTTACTTTGACTTGAGACAATTTATTCTGATTAGATACGTTAGTAGACCCTCTCAAGGGGCTGGTGAGTCATGTCAATTCAAATGAAGTGAAGCCAACATATCTAAAATAAAGTTTTCCATCTTTCTCCAAAAGCATGTGCTGTTGTGTCTATGTCCCCTATAGCAAATATACTTCTATAAATAATACATTCTAATTCCTCCTGCCTATACTATCATTAAAACAAATGAAAAGAACTGCCCATCTAATGGTATATAGCCTCTCTGTTTGCTGAAAACTATTAAGTACTTTTCAAGTTTTTCCTTTAGTTTCTTATAATCTTCGTATGTTCTTAATCTAGACTGTATTTTCTAGCTTTTATCACATATCATTCACATGGGCTGGCACTCCATTTGGAATCAACATTCCAATAAACATTAGAAAACCTGGATACAGTATTTAAAATACGAGAAAAAACTTCTACAATGTTTTATAAATTTATCATATATGAATACATGTTATGCAACCTATCAAAATATTAAGTCCTCCAAGTACCATCTACATACTAATCTTTCTTTGCTACCTATAAACTCTTCAGAAGAAATAAAAATGAGCAAAAGACAATGTACCAAACAAGAAATTTGGCAGCATTCCTTGAAGGAACGGTCTATATTATGTTCACTGTCTCTCATCCGTCTCTTTCCATTCTCTCTTGAAGACACTCCAGCCCTTTTGTCTTTACCACTCTTCTGAAAATGTCCTTGTCAAGTTCAATCATGACCTCCATGTAGCTAAATCTGAAGGTCAATTTGCATCTTACTCAACCTGTCAGCAGCATTTGACAAGAGCTGATCACATGCCCTCCTCTTTCTTGAAATCCTTTTTGCACTTGGTTTCTAGGCTACCACTCTCTTGGTTTTCCTCCTCATGCACTGGTTGCTTTAGACGCCCTTTCTAGTTCTTTTCCTCTCTCCAACCTCTAAAAGGTAGACTGTTTCAAGCCTAAGTGCACACTCATTTCCTAGGTGATCTCTTCCAGTCTCATAGTTTTAAATACTACCTATATAGCTTATACCTTCAGCTAAGATCTTTTTTTAAAAAATTTTCTTTAATTGACTTTTTGAGAGAGGAAAGGACAGGGGAAAAGAGAGAGAAGCATCAGTGTGAGAGTGGAACATCAATCAGCTGCCTCCTGCACGTCCCCTATTGGGGACTGAGCCTGCAACCCGGGCATGTGCCCTGACCGGGAATCGAACCAGCAACCTTTAGGTGCACAGGATGACATCCAACCAACTGAGCCACAGCAGCCAGGGCTAAGAGCTTTCTTTTGAATTCCAGACTCATATATCTAACTGCTTCTTTTGTATCTCTATTTAATGGTTAAAAGGTATCATACATCTAACTAAAACCAAATTTCTGATTCTGCCCTCAATCCCATACCTGTTCCTAGTAAGTGTCATGTCAATCTTTCCAGTAATCAGACCAAAAACCTTGAGGTCACCCTTCAGTCCTTTTTTCCCCCTCTCACATTCCACATCCAATCCATCACTGAATTATGCTGGAGCTGACTTTGAAATACAACTAGAACCTGACTACCTCTTACTATGTTTGCTGCTGCTACACTGGTTTAAAGGTACTATCATTCCTGGGTGGATTACTACCTTAACCTCCTACATGGTTTCCCTGTTTCCATTCTTATACTCCCAGAGGCTATTGTCAATACAGTAGCCTAAGTGATCCTTTTAAAACATAAGCCAGGCCCTGTCCAGTTTGGCTCAGTGGTTAGAGCATTGGCCCATGGACCACAGGGTCATGGGTTCGATTCCTGGTCAAGGGCATGTACCCGGGTTGCAGGTTTGATCGCCCGCTCTAGTTGGGGTGCTGTAGGAGGCAACCAATTGATGCGATTCTCTCACATCGATGTTTCTCTCTCTCTCTCCCCTCTTTTCCACTCACTCTAAAAATCAATGGGAAAAAAAAAAAAATCCTCAGGTGAGGATTAACAAAAACAAAAACAAAAAGTTAAGTCAGATCATATCATTGCTTTGGTCAGAAGCCTTCATTAACTTCCCACCTCACTCAGAGCAAGAATCAAAGCTCCTATATTGGACCAAAAGACCTCATGATATGAATCTCCACTACTACTGACCATATCTTCTCTCACTTTCTCTTTAGTTATTCCTCAAACATGACTACCAGGTTCCTTCCCACTTCAGAACCTTTCCTCTTGCTATTCCTCATTTCCCTAGGGAAAAGCTATTCCCCCTAGACATCAACACGTTTGCCTGTTCACTTACTTCAGGTCTCTGTTCAAAGGTTGTCTGATCAAAGAGCATTTCCCAGATCATCCCTATAAAAAAAGAGACGCTACTATATTCCCCCTAATCCTCTAACCTTTATTTTTCCTTTTTCACTTAATTTTCTTTCATAGTACTTATCATCATCTGACATATTTATTTTCTTTTTCCCTTTATTAGAATATAAGCTCTTTAATGGAATTTGTTTTGTTTACTATTATATTCCCAAGGCCTAGAATAATGCCTGCAACATAGCAGGCATACAGATTTTCTGGATTAATTAATGTGATATTATACATCTGTTAATCATATTTCTAGTTGCATTTACTTAGTTTTGTAAGAGTACTTTAAAGTCTAATTCTGTCATCAAGGGATCTAACTTGGTATCTTTGGTGAACCTAATAATGTATGTTCTAACTATGTCATCCACACCATGAAGTATTTGAGAAATAGTAACAATATGGTTAAAAAAAATGCCCTCACCGAAGCAAACGTGTTTGCTGTCTCTTCCGGATAGATGGATTAGACTCAAACACATGAGGCCGTTTCCGTTTCTTTCCTGTTGCCACAGCAGCAGCAGCAGCCATTCCCACAGGACCTGAAATAATAATGTATGTGCTGAGATTATGCAGAGCCTGTTAGCTGTACAAGACAGAACACAATTAAAGCTACAAAAAAGGTAGCACTTATTTCCTACTATGTTATCAATATATATAAAATGTTCCTGATGTTATCAATATATTTCACTATTGTTCAACATGAATCATGTTTTCTCAGAGGTGCTACATAAAATTGCAGCATTGTGAGGAAGCTTGCCAAAAAAAACCAAAAAATTACAGATTTCAAATTTCACTTCCATCCCTGTGCCCCTCTTTCCATTACCCCAAGACATGGGCCAAGTTAAGAAAGTCAGAGGTAATCACTCATACTTGGAATTCCAACAACAGCAGCAGCAACACCTATAAGAGGAGTATCTGGACAAGTATCAACTGAATTAGAAAACTTTTTCTTGTATATCAGAAAATTGTGCTCCAAATGGAGTTGTTGACCACATAGTCAAAATGATGAAAACATCCTGGGGGGAAAGAGATGAAACCTGTCCCACTCTAGGGAAAAAAATGTTAATAAAAATTGGTCTGCTCTGCCCTGGAACTAATGACTAAAATAAAGGTAGGCCATCAGGAGCTATTGGAGTCTCTGATTCATGAAATCTCAACATATAAAAGACATTCCTATTTTTTTTTTTTAAACAAATGATCCATTCACCTTTATCCTTATTTGTGAATCCAGTCAAAGGCTTAAATAAAAATTAAGTTTAAACCTTCACATTTATACTAGCAATATGTTATATATGTTTAATTTAGGCTCAATTACAATAAGCCTCCCTGAAAATCTTGAGCCACTCTACACGTTGTTTGATTTGCATTTCCCTGATGATTAGTGACGTTGAACATATTTCATATACTTGCTGGTCATTTATATGTCTTTTTTTTTTTTAAATAAAGTGGTTTTATTTCTAATTTTTAGTTCCCACACAGTTTACAAATACACTTTTATATGCATGTGCAACTAGGAAAGCAGCTGAACTAATACGCATAAATACAGATGGAGGGACAATTAAGACCCACTAATGTTTCTCTACATAAACTATTTTTTAAATGTCATTTTTAAAAACAATAGGAAATAGACTACATAATATGCGTGGGCAAAAAGGCAATTAAAGTGACTCTCTTGAAACACTAAATGTATAAAAAACAGTGCATATGATCAACATTTACATGATTCACATCAAAATGATGACATCCTCCACCCGGCTGAGTAGCTCTGCGCATTGGAGCATCACCCCGTACAACAAAACGGTTGCACGTTTGATTCCGCTTAGGGCACGTACAGGAGGCAACCAATAGATGTTTCTCTTTCGCATGGATGTTTCTCTCTTTTTTGCTCTCTCTCTCTTCCTTCCTTTCTCTTTAAAAATCAATGAACATATCCTTGTGTGAAGATTAAAAAAAAAAAAAAAAAAAAATTAAAAAAAAAAAAAAAAAAAAACTTAAAAAAAAAAAAAAGACATCCTAAAATGTATTCCTTTTAAAGGGTTGATTTATCAATATAATATTAATATCTTTTACTACTATGGTACAGTACTGTAGGAAAATTAAAGTAGGTCTAGTCATTAGCTTAAAGGATCCTTTTCCATGAGCTTTTATTACTAAAATAATCACAACGAGGTCATAAATAAAACTGGTAAATTATTAATTACATGAACTGAGGTTTAGGATGAAAACTTATAAAAATTAGTTTGATATACACCAAAATTATACAACACACTAAAACTGTTTGCTATTTTTGCCTTGTGTGAACTGCCTAGAGTAAAAAAGGAACAAACTTTTTAATAATGGAAGATATAACAAACTATATTTTGGAACTTATTTTTCAAGAGCAAAAGGGAAAAATATTTCAACAAAATTAAGGGCTAATACTGATCCAAATAAAGGCATCATGAAATCAGGGAGGCCATGTGCTTGCCACGAAACTTTATTCTCCCAATAACATGCAGAAAATAAAAACTACACTGGGTTTGTACTTATGACTACAGTCTAAGTTTCCTTTATGGATTAATAACCAATAATATAATACTTCACAATTGCATACCTTTCCACACTGCCTGAACTAGAAATAAACCAAGAACTTAATATTAGTTCTTAAAATTCCCAGTAAAATAACTCTTAAAAATAATCTTGATGATATTCTTGGCTGTTCCAAAGCAACTGGGCAAGGTCAAGAATGCAAAACACCAAGAAAGTCATTCCCATTTAGCCGCATTTAAAAAGTCATCAACTCAATGGGAGAGATGACCATAATTTTCAGAAGGCCCACACACTGGATATGAGGTGTCTTTTCATTTTTTTAAATAAAAAGCTAGTAAGACTAAAATTTGGATTAAAAAAACACAGTATCATATGCCAGATAACTTCTTTGCCCCCAAATATAAAATTCTTTGCTTATAACTTTAATATACTCAACCAGTTATAAGATATTGTACAAATGTAGTCTACCAGCAACCTAGAAGTAGACTGCATACATGTACCTATCACACTTATTTTCCAGGTAACATGATACACTATTAACTGACTGCTCTGGCCCTGGACCTTTTGACTTCCTCAGAAACCCTGTTTGGAACTTTAATTGCATGTCTTCATTAGGGAGATGTCTACTCAAGTCCTTAGTCCATTTTTGAATCAGGTTACTTGTTTTAATGCTATTGAGTTGTAGGAGTTCAACATTTTTATCATTAAAATTTTCAAATATATATCAAAGTTGACAGAATTTTACAGTGAACATTCATAAATCTACCACCTAGATTCTACATTAACATTTTATATATGTATCTGTCCATCTTTCTACCTATTCATCAACTGAGGGTTTGTTTGTTTTCTGACGTATTTCAAAGTAAACTGCAGTATAACTTTCCCCTATATACTTCAGTAGGAATATCATTAGGTAGAATTTAATATTTGTTTACATTTTTTTCTTTTGAGATAAAATTTACATATAATGAATTTACAAATCTTAAGTGTACAGTCAATAAATTTTGAAAAGTGTATATGACTATGAAACCTAATCCCCTAATCAGAACATACAATAATACCATCACTACAGAAACTTCCCTAATGCCCCTTCCCAGTCAGTTCCCATCCGACCTCCCAAAGGTACCCACAATTCTGACTTTTTAAAAACCCTACATTAGTTTTGCCTATTCTAGAGTTTCAAAGAAATGGAATAGTACAGTATGTACTTCTTTGTGTAAGGTTTCTTTCACTTAGTATAATGTTTTGAGATCCATCCATGTTGTTATATATATCAGCAGTTTGTTCCTTTTTATTGCTCAGTAATAGTCCAGAGTATGAACAAACCACTATATCCATTATCCTACTGATGGGCACTTAGGCTATTTCCAGTTTTAGGCTATTATGAATAAAGCTGCTTAATTAAATTAATTAATTTGTAAATCCAATGTAATTCAAATAAAAATCCCAATATGGGTTTCTGTGGAGCTTGATAAACTGACCCTAAAATTAATTAATTAATTAATTTATTTATTTATTAAAAATATATCTTTATTGACTATTCAGAGAGAGGAAAGGAGAGGGAGAGAGAGAGGTAGAAACATCAATGATGAGAGAGTCATTGATCAAGCCCACAACCCAGGCATGTGTCCTGAACAGGAATTGAACCCTGATCGCCTGGATCCTAGGTAGACGCTCAACCGCTGAGCCATGCTGGGCCGGGCTGATCCTAAAATTTAAATGGAAGTACCAAAGACCAAGAAGATCCAGACCAATTTCGAAGATCTGAAGAAGGGGATGAAGGAGCTTAGTGTAGGGGAATAACATCCTACTAAATATCAATAGTTAATATAAAACTATAGTCATTAAGACAAATAAACCAATACAATTGAATTAAGAGTTCACAAAAACTTCCTTTGTCATAAGATAGAGATGGGAAAGGATAGATTATTAAAAATATGGTGCTGAGACAACTGAGTGCCTATATGAAAAAATAATGAAACTAGATCCCTCCATCATACCATACACAAAAATAATTCCAGGTGGATTAAAGACCTAAATGTAAAACATTTACATCAATGAAACAAACAAACAAAACACACAAAAATAACTTTACAACATCTACAATAAATTATTGAATATTTATAAACTAAGGGTTGAGAATTCCTTAAATAAGACTCCAAAAAGATAAACTGAAAGGTAAAAGACTAATAAATTTCACAATAATATAAATCAAAACCTTTAAGGAGAAAAAAGAAATAACAAAAAATCGGGAGAAGGAGTGGGGAAAAAACTGAAAGAAGATAATTACAACGTATATTACTGAGAAAAGAATTTAAAAATATATCAATAATTCTTACAAGTCAATATGAAAAAGACTATCCAGTCAGAAAATAGACAAAGGTGTGAACAGGAAATATGCAAAAGAAGGAAAACGAATAGTCAATGAAGATCTGAAATGAGCCCGGCCAGCATGGCTCAGTGGTTGAGCATTGACCTATGATCCAGAAGATATCGGTTCAATTGGGGAATTGAACAGGATACATGCCCAGGTTGCAGGCTCGATCGCCAGCATGGGGCAGGCAGGAGATAGCAGATCAATGACTCTCATCATTGATGTTTCTCTCTCCCTCTCCCTCTGATATCAATAAAAATATATTAAAAAAAAAAAAAAGATCTGAAATGGTGCTCTATCTTTTCTTCCTGCACTGACTGAAACCTCTAGCTCAGAGTCAAGCAAATTAAACCAACAGTACGATACTATTTTATACCCACCAGACTGGCAAAAACGAAAACCAATTGATAATACCAAATGTGGTGACGACGAGAAGCAACAGGCACTCTAGTACACTGGTTATGGGAATATAAATTAATGCAACAATTTGAGAAGACATTTGGAATATTTACTAGGTATTGCAAATGTGCTGATCTTTCCCCTCCAATTCCCTCTCCTTCCTGGATATACCCTCAAGCAGTATTTTTCAAACTGCGGATTTCTACCCTTTGGTGGCTCGTGAGTTTTTTGTTTTGTTTTGTTTTTAATAAAGTGGAATAAAGTGAAAGAGACTAGAACATATCAGACAGTGTGTTACTTGCAGTAGGGGGTGCATATTAACTTTATTAGAAAATTGTTATTTCATTATGTGTGCATCTGTGTATTTGAGATCACAATGTAAAATGTATTACTGTGGGATATTGTCAGAAGAGTTTGAAAACCAATGCCAAGAGGAACTCTCACAATATGCATCAGAAAACATGTAAGATGACTTTCATTTGCAGCAACTATAATTTCAAAATATTATAAACAACTTTAGTATTCTACCAGTATATGAGACAGCCAGATAATGAATGGAATACCAAACAACAGTTAAAATGGAAACTTATAATCACATTATCAACATGAACAAACCTCAGAGAAAGAATGCCAAATGAAATAAACATGTTACAGAATGATATATCAGAGTGACACCGTTCATATAAAACTTAAAACATGAAAAACAATGCTAAACATTATTTACTGATATACAGCAAAACATAAAAGAAACGCAAGAGAAGGATAAAGATCTAATTCAGAATAGAGGTTATGGCAGTGGAAGGAGGGAGGGAGGGAAATAGGATTAGAAAAAGCAGCTGCCTACTACCCTTTCCTCTTCATTTACCTTAGTACATTATTTTCTTCAGAGCACTCAGCGCTTTCTGAAAATATTTTACTTTATTATATATACCCTTCTCCCCACCACTGGTCTGTAAACACCTTTAGTAGCAAGCTCTTGCCTATTTATTCATAGTATCTATACATAGTAATAAAGAGTATACAGTAAGTAATTCCTCAATAATTGTTGAATGACTAAACGGTAAATCATTTCTACCAGCTGGGCCTCAGTTTCCATATCTGCCACATAAAAGCATTAGATCAAAGTCCTTTCCTAATCAATCTTAACACTATGACAATGCAGTACAGTATTACAGCAAAATTATGTCTCAAAAGCATCTTCATTCCTAGGAAAGAAGCCAACCTGATTCAATGTTAGGATGCCCTCTTCTGGGGAGCATTAAAATTTCAAAAATATATTTTACAAATATTTCATGTGTTTTGCTACTAGGCCTTATTTTTCAATTCACCATTCCAGAAATATACAATAGATAATAACTGACAGTAAAAAGATTATCCTTTATTACACTTGTCTTCCTCCCCTTACATATAGCACATATTAAGATGATGTATTTTGGCTATTCCACTGCTTTCCCGTCCAGTTTTTCCTAAGTATCTCCTACACCAATACAGTATTAGACCCACTCAGGTGTCGTTTATGAGTATTCCACATAATGCTGAATATACCATGTAAATAACAAAGAGAATGGCTCAAAATGTGGCTCAGATTTAAGTCAGTTAGTGGCCCAGAAAAATCTTAAAACCTTAAATTGGATTAAGATGATCCAGGATTGCTAGTGCCCTCAGACATCTGGCAGAAGCAAACAAAAATCCCCTCTAGAGGATAACAATATTATTTTAGACCTCAAATTACTTTTTTCTTTTTTACTTTTCAATTACAGACAACAGACAGTATTATATTAGTTTCAGGTATACAACCCAGTGATTAGACATTATATAACTACATGATCATCCCAATAAGTCTCATACCCATCTGACACCATACATATAGTTATTACCCAATTACTTCTAAAAATCATCTTCCAAACACAGCATCCAGTATTCATTCAAATATAACCAATGGCAGTTCCAGGCAAGATGGCAACATAGGTAAACACAGTACTTGCCTCCTCCCACAACAACATCGAAACTACAACTAAACTATAGAATAACCATCATTCAGAACCACCTGAAACCTGGCTTAAATGGAAGTCTTACAACTAGGGAATTAAAGAAGACACCACAGCAAGACTGGTAGGATCGGCAGAGAGGCAGAACAGGCTGGTCCCACACCCACGTGTGACAGATAAAAATTGGGGGTGATAACTCAGTTGCAGAGGTGCTTCTGGAGGAGAGCACCAGGCCCCCGAACCCAAGGTTCCAGAGCCAGGAAGAGAAGTCCCCATAATTTCTGGCTGTAAAAACCAGCAGGGAATTGAGGCTAAGGGAGTTGGAAGGCTGCTGGAGTCCCAAGCAGTTCCTCTTAAAAGGCCCTTGCAGAGACTTACTTACTTGGACTCATTCTCTCTGAGCTCCAGCGCTGGGACAGCAGTTTGAAAGGCACCAGAGATATACGGGGAGGAACTAAACTGTCTGGCTGGCATCAGGGCAAGAGCTGGAGGGGCAGCTTTCTCCCAGACAGAAGTGCTGGCAGAGGCCATTGTTTCTTCTCTGAGCCCTTCCCCCACAGAGCCGGCAGGCAGGCGCCAGATCTGAGACTCCATCAACCTGGCTCACAGAGTTTGCCCCACCCTGGTGATTCCCGGAGGCTCCACTCCACACAACTTTTGGGCCCACCCAAGCTGTTTCCAGTGGCTTTTCGATACAATGGCCTGTCTTGGCTCGTGTTTCACAGATTTTCCTAAAATCTCTCAAACAAGCAGGATCTGGCTACAGCATGCCCTGTACCTCTTGCTAAGTGGCCGCAAGCCCAGCACTAGGCAGCAACCAGCCTTGTTCACAGATTGGCCTCACCTGGGCACTACCAAGCCCAGCACAAGTAGCAGTCATCTGCAGATCACTCTGTAGTTCATGCTAGGTGGCTCCGGGCAGAACACAGGTGGCAGCTGACTTTGGCCTGCACCTCGAGGTGGACAGCTTCAGACCATGCCAAAGCAGGAACACCCAACGACCTCCATAAGTGACACTCTCAAGGGGTAGACTCAGTGGGCACCAGAGCCCCATTTAAGTAAGTCCTGCTCTGTGAGGTGGGCCCCAGCACAGCTGATCCTTCATGGTGATTGGAGGTCAGTGGTCGCAGCCAGTCTTGTAGCTGATCAACCAGGGTGTAGATCCCTCCCACTGATGTGCCAACTGCAATCAAGGCTCAACTACAAGAAGAGCATGCACATAGCCCACATAAGGGGATGCACCTGGAGTGACCAGCTTGGGTGATTGGGGAGACTGTGCCACTGGACCCTACAGAACACCTATTACATTAGGCCACTCTACCAAGCCTTGGAGATGTAGCATCTCTAACTAATACATAAAAACAAACACAAGGAGGCTGCCAACTAAGGAGACAAAGACATGTCCCAAATGAAAGAACAGAATAAAACTCCTAATAAATTCAATAAAAATTTAAAAGAAAGAAATTAATTCAAGTGTTCTAAGAAACTTGCATTATCCCTAAAGAGGACAAAAGTATCAATTAATAATACTTTGACATAAGCAAAGTATAAAGTATGTATATTATAATTTCTAGGAGTACCACTAATAGCAAGGTATACATAACTTCTGCCCTAGCCAGTCTGGCTCAGACTGAAGGGTCCCAGGTTTGATTCTGGTCAAGGGCAAGTACCTCGGTTACAGTCTCAATCCCCAGCCGCAGTCGGGGTGTGTGTGGGAGGCAACCAATTGATTTGTCTCTTTCACACTGATGTTTCTCTCTCTCTCTCCTCTCTCCCTTTCTTTCTCTCTGAAAAGCAATGGAAAAAAATTTCCAGGGATGAGGATTTTAAAAAAAAGTATAAATAACTTCCAAACTAACAAGAAAAAAATAAAAACTTTCAATCACTCCAAAAGGAAACATCAGAAAAGCAAACACAGAACAAGTGAGATAAAGTAAAAGAATATAGTAAACATGATAAATCTAAACCTAAATATATCAGTGATTACATTAAATGTAAATGGACTAAATGATTCAGTTCAAAGTCAAAAGATTGTTAGAATGGATGGAAAAACAAAACCAAGTCATGTCACCAATAGTATGTGATTCTAGGACTTAAGTCTCAGTATAACACAGGCACAAGTTGAAAATCCAAGGCTTAAAACAAAATCGTGAAGATGTGTAATGAAGATAAATGTGAGAGTGCCTGCATCCTAGGCTCTTCCAGATAACGCAGGGAACCATAGTTAAGCAAAAAATAGCTTCCAATACAAACAGCATTACCTGCAGCAGCCAGATGGGCTGTTACCTCATCAGCCGCTGTGGAGTTGAGTATGTCTGAATCATCATAAGAGGTGTCCTCTGGAGATGAAGGAGAGTCTTCATCAGCACTCAGCATACTGTGTTCAGTGTAGGTGGCGACATGGACCTGCTGTACTTGCTGGGCCACTGCATGGGCTTCTATGGTAGCCATGTGTTCAGTTTGGGTCACGCCGTGTTCCTCCATGAAGATCTACTGTGAGGAAAAAGGCAAAGAACAGAATTCAGTGTGTAATGTAACACAATGCTTACACTAAGAGATATTTCACTCAAGAGCAGGGGAAACCTTTGATTTTGCTACATACCTCACCACCACCAAGTCAAAGGAAATGGGAAACACCATTCAAATATGACCCAAAAATGGTAGAATATTTTCCTTACATAAAATCTTTTTGATGGCCATTCACTGTGCTAATTTTATACCTGAGGTCAATAAAACAACACCCTGATACTACATATACCAGTTAGGGACATTTAAATATAACAACAAAAAGATATTTAAAAGATCTCAGTAACTTGGCATTTGACATTGTAGACATAAAAACACTTAGTAAGTAAATGAAATATTTAACATTTTCTTTGTATTTCACAGACAAATGGGAGTTAAACTCCCCCCCACCAAACTGCAATAATTCAAATTGGGTTTTCTGCTTATAAAACTGTGCTTCTTGTAAACCCTAAAATGATGCAGTAATTTATAAAGTAGTAAAATAAAGGTTTGCTCTTCTAATGCACTTACAATCTGTTCCCTCTTCCCCCAACAACTACAAAGAAGTCTTAAAAAAAGTTTTTGAAGCATACATATAATTTTAAAAACACAGATCCATTATTACACATTATTCTATAGTTTGCTTTTTTCTTATTATAATATCTGGACATCTGACATGTCAAAACATACAGATCTATCAGACCTTTCTAAATAGCTGCTTCATTGTATGGATGTGCCATAATTATGCAACCAATCATACCTACTGATACAACATAGCAAGGCTGCTGCTTCCAAATTTTTGTTACTATAAACATCAGTGCAGTAAACATACCTGTATATTTACCAACTTTGCATATTGGTTCCTCAAAAAACTTAAAAGAATTACCATATGGCCCAGTAATTTCACTTCTGGGTCCTCAGCCAGAAACATTGAAAACAGTCTCAAAGGGCTATTTATTTATACATACCCATATTCAGAGCAGCAATACTCATAACAGCCAGAAGGTAGAAGCAACCCAACTATCCACAGATGGATGAATGGGTAATACAAAATGTGAATACATATATACAATGGGATATTATTCAACCTTAAAACGGAAGAAATGCAAACTAGGATGAGAGGGAAACTTCCTCAACTTGATAAAAAAAAAAAAAATCTAAAACATATCTACAGATAATCATACATAATAGTGAGAAGCTGGATAAACAAGGGCTACTATAGAAGCTTTCCTGCTAAGATCAGGAATACTGCAAGTATATCCCCACTTATCACTCCTTTCCAACACTGTACTGAAAGTCCTAGCTAATGCAGGGAA